CTGTTACAAACAACCGTTATGTGAACAAAATTAATATACCCTTGTGCACAAGTGCGCTCGGGTATAAAAATAATTTAATGATGTTATATTTTATTTCTGTGCCCATTTCATTATAGCTCGTTATATTTAAGCGAGTTAAGGTATTTAGGCCGTTTAAAACTATGAAATTATCTCTCATCTGCTGTCTAGGCATACGAAAGATATCAATCCCTCTAAATTTACCTTAAAATGGTTCCAGGGATACGACGCGAGAACGTGTAACCTTCTTGGAGGTGCCACGGCGGGTTTTAATATTTCCAACTAAAATTTAGTAAATTGGCCTTGTTAAAATACCACTTCTCCTTACTGTGGAAAATGCATCATGAGAGCTTTAGATTATAAGGCCGAACTCGGCTCTCCCTTTTCCACTAAATGAAATTTTTTCTGTCAGTACGGCACTTATAAAATAAATCTCCATAACAAATTTAAAATACTTCGATAGATTTTCTATCCTTCCAGAGATATGCATTAAGAAGTTTTTAGTATGTATGGAAGTGCCACGCCCCTTTTTCTTATAACCCTAATCTTCTTCCATGAATTTACAATTGATTTTACATACCCCAGTACCAAGTCCCAGTACTCTACCATGAACACCTCTAGAGATATGCAGTATAAAACAGTAAATTTGTACGGGAGGTACCATGTCCCCTTTTCGAATAACGCAAATTTTTCTCCATGAGTATGGAATTAATTTTGTATACACATCTCGGTGCCAAGTTCCAGTCCTCTGCAATAAACACCTCCAGAGATATGCAGCATAGAAAAATCNTGGTATTAGTTTCACATACATACATACATCTCTATTTCCATACCAAGCTTAGGCACTTTAACCCAAACATTTGAAGAGACTTACTTTCTGTCTAAAACCATCCTTCTGAAATCCGTAGTAAGTGTACGTTCTGATCGGAAAACCGGTTAAGGAAGTAGCCTATTTTTCAATCCAGGTCATAAACCATCTTTGAGCAAAATTTCATTTTCAAACAGGTGGCAATTCTTAAAAAAGTAGCCTATTTTCCAGTCTAGGTCATAAGCTATCTGTGTGCAAACTTTCATGCAAATCAGTTCAGTCATTTACGCGTATTAATTTAATTAAACTTTCCTAATACGTGATAACTCTTAATATAGTAGAATATTTTCCAACATAGGTCATAAGCTATCGCTGTGCGGAATGTCATGCAAATCCGTTTAGTCGTTTCCGCGTATTGTTTTAATTAAACTTTTTTAACAGTTGCCAACTCTTCCAAAAAATTTGCCTATTTTCCGCTGTAGATCATAAGCTATCTGCTTGCAAAATTTCATGCAAATCCATTCAGTCGTTTCCGCGTATTAATTTAATGAAACTTTTTTAACAGGTGGCAACTCTTAAGAAAAGTAGCCTATTTTCCAATCTAGGGCATGAGCTATCTGTGTGCAAATTTTCATGCAAATCCTTTCGGTCGTTCCCGCATATTAAATAAATGAAACTTTTTTAACAGGTGGCAACTCTTAAAAAAAATAGCCTATTAACCAATCTGGCCCATAAGCTATCTGCGTACAAAATGTCATGCAAATCCGGTCAATCGTTTCCGCGTGATGATTTCCCAAACATCCAAACATACAAACTTTCACATTTATAATATTTATAAGATTATAAGATTTCTAAATTGGTTCGTAAGATATACGTAATTAATAGGAACCAATTTTTGCTTTAAGCTGAATAACGGTAAACTGGAAATATCTCGAGAACGTATCCATAGGAATAAAATCATCCCGAATTTCGGAATCACCGAGCAATTCTACATAGAAATTGGATAGTGGCGTCTGGAGAACAAAAACCAAATTAAAATTTGTGATCCAGTGTTATTTACAATTGTTTTCCGTTTACCTTTAACATCCGATTGCACACGACTATGTAGTATTATCCGCATCGCCATAACAGTTTTCAGAAGAAGCACTTCGTACTAACTGCATTTTTTTCGCCTGCGGGATATTAGAAGTACGTACACTTTTTAAATGCATGTATGTGCATTTTGCGTGCCTTTTATCGTATCTCTGTATTTCACTAACTCCCTGTGTGAGGAAACAGAAGAAGTATAACAGAAGTGCCTAAAATTTAGCAATTTGGCCATGTTAAACACAGCCGAAGCTAATTTCCGGTATTTCTCTTACTAGCGCCTGAAACTATACTTATTATTTAACAAATTTATTGCGTTTTTACGTTCTTTGACAAATTACGCTCTGTTAGCCATAAATTTTACTGTGTTTTGACCGCCTTAACTGATGAGTTTTGACCGAAATAACTTATATTCTATATTGCATTATCATCGTGATTAGAACTATGCTGAAAATTTTAGGTCTCTAGCTTGTCGATTGGAAATTTCCGCGGGATGACCAAGTTAAATAAGAGCTTGTAAAAAAATAGTATGAAAGTAAAGAGAAAATGGTAAAAGTAGAATATACCAAAACGGCAACAGTGTACCAATTCAACAAATAAATTTTATTAATGAAAAATCTATACTATTTATTATTCTAAGACAAGGCGCTTATTCCCTGCGATCTACTAATCGTACAGAGACAAGTCGTATATCAAATTAGAGTGCTCGATCTGAAACTTTGCACGAACATTTCAGATTTAAAAATCATTAGACCACTTTTGAAATACTTCCGTGTAAAAATTTGTAAAGTTTTATATTGAACAAGTTTTACATTTACGTTCATTTCAATAGTCAGCAACTGCGGAGCAATCTGAGTATGGAGTAAAAAAGGACGCCCACAGCAACACCTTGAAAGAGCATTTTCGGAACACTCCGAATATGGAGTGAGAAGGGACTCCCACGTTAACACCTCGAATGAGTGTTTTTGGAGCACTCCGAATATGGAGTGCGAAGGAAGTCAACGTGTTTTGTTTTTTGTTTTCTTGTTTTTTTTTTATCTAGTCTGTGGGTGGTCGGTTTCACACTGGAACATTTCTGCCACCAGAACAACTTTGTTTGTAGGCCAGAGAGGCAGTGCGGTGAGGTAGTTTCTCAAAAAGTTGTTCCAGCTTCTAGCCCACATTAAAGTGGCAGTTCTGCTGCAGCGCTCCAACACATGCCCAACTACTAAAATGCTATCGTCCTATACACATTTTATTCTGCTATTGTGCTGCTAGTTTTCATTCAGTGGGAAACCGTGAGAATAATTGTTCTATGATTCTAGTGTGAAACAGTGAAACAGCCCAATTAAGAAATTTTCAATCAAGAAGAAAATGATCGTCTTTTCCGAATATTCCTGAAAAGGAACACCGCAACAAAAGCTGTTGACGTTATGGTAGTTTCAAATGCATTTAGAGGTAAACAATAATGCATAAACAATTACTTTTGTTTAACTTTAGTACTTTTCGGATGTATTTTATAATATATATGCTGGATATGGCAAAGAAATTCCATAGAGCGGGCACAAAGTGGTTCCAAACCTAAAAGGAACGTATTTTAAACAATTAAAAAATATTTTTTGATTTACTTCAGGATTTTTCCGTTTTATCTGTTTTTTACTGAATAATATGTAAATCTGTAATTAAGCATTTTTTCAATAAAAAAATGATGAAAACATTTTAATACTTATTAATTCTGTGGTCATAAGCAATAACCGCCTAAGTCGACTTAAGAAAGAATTTAGTATATATGCCATCGTATTCTGAAACTACTATTCTATGCGTGTGTGAAATCCCCATCTTGCCAGCTAGGCTATTTCAAAAGTTATAGACGAAAAGATTTTTGTTTCCCCATAAGGCTAACATTACAATCCAAACGTTTAAAACTTTTTTTTTCTCGAATTCAGGTTTTTCGACTTAGGCGGTTATTGCTTATGTCCACAGAATTATGAACAAAATTAAGAACATTTTGAAAAACCGTAAATCCACCTTTTCAGTCTATTATCGGACTCCACTGGTGTGGTATTTTTGAAAAACTTAATTTTTTTATTTTCAGTTTTACATATATGATTTTAAAATGCTGGAAAACTAAAAAAATCATTGCCTACGAATTGTTTTAAATAAATGTGAGATTTACCTTGTTTATACCTAGGCAAGAACCGCATTAACAAAAAACTTATTTGACTTCACATATATTTCTTTCAAAAATTTACCTCGGTCTTTATAGCGCACTCTTTGAAACCGTATTCAAAAGTAAACAAAACTTGTTATTTTTATTCGATATTTCTTTGATAATTTATTTGCGCGGTGGGCCGAAATGGAAGCGAACAAGAATTCTAATTTGTTATTATAATAATTCAAATTTAAAACGGACTCTATAAAGAAAAGCAGCCTTTTTTCACTTCTCGTCAAATGTATGATGTGTTTATACCTGTTTTCTAACCGATGTGAGAAATAAAAAAGCGATTTGAAGCTTACTGAAAGTTGGTTTATGCTTCCGTTTTGAATCACAGCGAACTGGGTCAAAGCGCTTTATGAGTCGGAGACTCAAAAATTAAGATAATTACACTAAGAGGCTATTTTGCGAGATTTAAATTTAGTCGACTGGATCGTTCAACCTCAGCCTATTGTAAGTAATCAAAACCACTTGAAGGATTGAGTAATTCCGTGTCCAAAAAAAAAAGCACTGCACGATAGTTAATAAGTAAATGGTTAATATGTTGCCCGGATAAGAAAATGTTTACTAAGGCAACGATACAGTCGTTTCTGAATATCCACATGAGCAAGTAAGATTCTCCACAGAATTTTTAAACTATCCATTTGTAATGAAACTTGTCAGCTCGAGAAGTTAAGTGATTAAAAGTCATGATTTATGTGTTGCTCTATGAGTACCTTTCTTTACCTTTTGAAATTTTTTGAAACAGTTAAAGAAATTTCAACTTAAAAAGTATTACCAAGGCTTATCAAACAGGTATTAGAGCAAAAAAACATGTACGTAAAATTAAAAATTAAATTTGGAAAAAAATTGGTGCGACTTTCCTTCTTAGTAAATTTTGTTTGCTTCTCGAAGCCTTGATCCATTATATGCAAGGCCCAGTAATCAGCGTTTATGCTGCGGAGTTACGTAAACGTCAGGGTTGGGCATTTTTGGACTACCACTGAATTGCACTATCACTGTTTATTCAGTGATAGTTAAAATGCAAAATTCATTATCACTGAAAATTTAGTGATAGTGAAAAAAAAATTTCACTATCACTGAAGGTTTAGTGATAGTGAAAAACAAATTGCATTATCAATAAAACTTTAGTGATAGTTAGAAAAAACTCACCATCACTAAACTTTTAGTGAAACTAGCCAAGCGAAGATAGCCAATTTACATATGCAAGTTGAAAACGCTAATCCAAAGTTACGTTATTTGTACCTCACTTTAGAATAATAAAAACTCCAAAAAAGTGTAACGCTGTTACTCTTAGGGCCTTTTTCTCAAGTAACCTGTCACTTTAAAGCTCACTTTATATTTAAAAGTTGCATTAAAATTTATAATTATGTCTAAAATAAAGGTTTTAAATTGGTTTACAACCAAGAAACATACATACGTCAAATGCCGATAATAGAAATGCTCAACATTAGAAATAGCTTTATTTTTAATCCAACCTTTACTGTGAATTTAATATATTATCTACATATGTAAAATAATAGCCGTTTCCATGATTGCACTTAACTCAAAAACTACTGGATAGATTTCAGTCAAATTTTCAGAGATTGTACCTTGCATATATGGTCCTATTATAGGGTAGTTTAGTATAAACGAAAAAATAGCATCAAAAATGACCCTCTAAGGAAGTAAGGTTAAATCAATAACATGTACATATATTAACTTTTTACATTTTGCTAACTCAGGTGTACAAAATTATGGAATAAATGTAATAGGCCGAAATCTGCGGAAATAATAAAAACAGTTACATCTTCGAATCTGGTTACGCCTTGCGCTACAAGATGGAACTCATTGTACGATTCGGTTCAGAAGTTAATAGAAGTCAAAAACAGATTAGATGAACTATGCTATAAGTTGGAAATTTCTACTTTCAATGAGGAAGAAATTGAGTATTTGGAAGAATATGCAAAAGTAATGCAACCTATCGCAGAAGCTATCGACTTCCTTCAAAGAGAGCAAAATATGTTCTTTGGTTACTTTATTCCAACTTTACTGTCCATCAAAATAAAAATGCGACGTTTAGCTTCCGAAAACATGAAATATTTGACGGAAACTAATATTCAAATGCAATCAAAGCTAATGCAAAGGTTTGAAAAATATTTTAGTTTGCACTCTGACTCTTGGGATGCAGTTATTGCAGCAATTCTCATTCCCGATATCAAACTAAAATTTTGCAAAAGTTTGCTGGAAGTGCTGATATACACTCTAGAAGATGTTCGGGATAAATTTAAAGAATATGCGATGGAGTTTAAAAGACAACCGGTAGGGGAAGATAATAATTTACAGCCTTCCATAAGAGTAAATACATCATTTCTCGAATTCGATGAGGAGTCGACAGGTATTTGATTAAAAGAAACCAACCTGCAAAACTTTTGTAAATAATTTGCTTTTTTAGATGAAAATCGGTATACATGTTGCCATGGCGGAGCTATAGCAACTGAAGTAGTTTTGTACCTGAATGACGAGGATAGGAGCATTGAAGCTTTGCATCGCTTTCCTACTATAAAAAAAAAATGTTTTTAAAATATAATACACCTCTTCCTTCATCTGCGCCAGTGGAAAGACTTTTTTCCTTTGCTGGGATTGTCAATCGATCGACAAGGCAAAATCTTTCTGACCAAAACTTTGAAATGTTGGTACTAAAAAAGGCAAATAAAAAATGAATTATATTTTTATATTTTTGAAGCGACGTACTATAATTAGAAGTCTCTTCTCAAGAATATTGTTTATTTTGAATATATTTTTTTTTCACTGCTTCAGCTAATATAGTCTTACTTTATTCTTCAAGAAGAACTATGTCATAACCATAAAGCTTGTTTAAAGACAAAAGCAATGTCATTTTACTGAAAAATTTTAATTATCAATAAAGGTTTTCACTATCACTAAATATTAAGTGGTAGTGCAAATTGTTTTTCACTGTCACTAAGGGTTTAGTGATAGTGCAATTTGTTTTTAACTATCACTAAATGTTCAGTGATAGTGCAGTTTTTTTCACTATCACTAAAATTTTCAGTGATAATGGATTCTGCATTTTAACTATCACTGAATAGACAGTGGTAGTGAAAAGNGTTGTGCCCAACCCTGGTAAACGTTCACATACAAAAAGATTTTGACAATTTATATTTTTTGTGAGAAGAAATTCAAAATCTTTGACATTTTAGAGACCGAATAATTTGCAAAAAAAAATTAAATCAGCTGCTCTACTGATACTACCTGTTCAATGTGCCTTGGGTAGTACAAAACATTGCAAAGAAGTACATTTGACTGTACTTCGAAATACGAGGTACAACGGCTCAAAAAGTACTATACTTCCGAAAGAAGGACGGTTGGTCACATTACTCATGCATAAAAAGTGAGCTTAAGCTCCGACTCGATTTTCAGTACAAGTTCTTGAGCTTGACCTCACCCCATCAATGCAAAAAATGAGTCTGAGCTTAAGCTCACTTTTTATGCATGAGGCCCATTAATTTGTGCTCTCTGCATTTGTTAGGCCGTGATTATGCCCATGGTTGCCACTCGCCAACATTTTTTTCTACCAAAATCTCTTAAGAAAAGTTACCAGAAGTTACCAAATCCTCACTACCAAAATCTTTACTTCTTCAGTGATACTGAATAATACTGCTATATTTCATAACAAATATGTATGTATATACTTACAGCCCGGTTCTGTGCACTTAATAAATTCAATATCAATTATATAAATAGGCAATCATGTTTCCTTTACACCCCTTTTACGGCTAAACTGTACTTCTAAGGTATAAACAATTATATATCATTAGAAAGGTATTTTGATGCTGATGTGCAGGCAATTTTTAAAATTTCAAATTAGTTTAAAATAGAGCGAAAAAATCAATTCAAAAGTCACACCAATACCAATGCCATACATGTACA